AGATCAACTGGGATGAGATGTTGCCCAAGGTAGCTAGTGCATACAACAACAGCGTGCACCTTTCCACCTGCCGCACTCCCAATGAACTGCACAAGTCCTTTAGACCACGCAGACCGTTCGAAGGACTGAACCGGGATCAGATTCACAGATTACCGCCCGGTACCAGGGAGTTTGCGATACAGCACGAAAAGGAATTAGCCACTGTTGTTGAGAACCTACGGAAGGCCCAGCACAGAATGATAGAGCAGGCTAACCAACACCGTCGCCCATCACAGTTTCAAGTAGGCGACTTAGTCTGGGTCAAGGCAAAAGAGTTTGCACCGGAAGAAAACATCTCGCAGAAGTTACTGCCTGCATATAGAGGACCGTGTCCGGTTCTAGAAGTCAAGGGCGGAGAGGATGGASCGTCCTATAGCATTGAGATTCCAGCACACCTCCACACATACCCTGTGTTTCATGCTTCAAAGCTGCTGCCGTGTATCACTAGTCAACAGTTCCCTTCCAGGAGATCCATGATTCCACGGGATATAGATGGAAGCTATGACATAGAGGGCATTGTAGAAGAGGATGTGTTTAGGACAGGAGGTAGAGGTCGTCCCCAGAAACAGTGTAAGGTCCGGTTTGCTTCTCAGGAACCGGAAGACGACCGCTGGTTCACGAAAGCAGAACTTCTAGAGACCGCTCCCGACATAGTCAGGGCCTATGAGCGTGACAAGAAAGGTAAAGGTCCTGCCTTGTACTAAAATTTTCTCGGAGGACCTCGAATTTAGGACGGCGGGAGTGAAACGGTTGTCACCTTTTAGCAGTAGCGTATGCAGTACCCAGGGTTCGATCCCTAGACCTCACCCTACCCATGTACAGTATCTGTGTAGACCCCGAGAATTGAACCTGTGACCTGTGTATTCGTAGGCAGTTGGTAGACCTGTCGTAGGTCCATAGACAGCCGGGTTCCGATCTGTAGGTCTATAGCGTAGGAGGCTTAGTGCGTTCTGGAAGCTTAGCTGTAGACCTTCTAGAAGGTAGGCAAGTGGGCAAGTGGTCAAGTGGTGAGGCAAGTGGTGGACTAAACCGCAGTGCAACAGCAGTGCAACAGCGGTAGGATAGCGGTGAGTCCATAGCCAGTCAACGGAAGGTCCAGTCAGTCCCAGTCCGGTCCAGCAAGTACCACAGGGGGACTGTAAGGACCAAGGGCCGATGGCAAAGGGCAGACCAACGAGTTTCTGAAGTATAAATCAAGAGGCAGCGCCCAGCCATTCATTCATTCCTGCGTGAGCCATGCGGAAGCGCTGCCACGGCGACTTGTGCAAGGAGGTCTGCAGATGAGCCCGGAGGACGCAGTGGGCAAGAGAGGAGKAGTTAGCATAGCGATAGGTTAGAGGCAGCCATAGCTGCCATAGCTGTAGTTAGTAGTGAGTGTGTGTGTGTGCTCGAGTGTTAGAGTGATGCGTGTGGGATATCCAGGGTGATCCAGTGTATGTGCTGTCTCTTATACACATCTAGATGTGTATAAGAGACAGGGCTAGGGGGATGCCGAAAACCCCCACTGAACCAAAAAATAGAACAAAATTCCTGCGGGTTCTTACATGCACAGGGTGCCCTGGGCGGGTGGAGAACTGGGCGACGTGCACAGGTGCTCGGCCGCATGCCCCTGGTAGACTAGCAGAGAGCCTTCCTGTGATTTAAATCCTTCATATGCCTTAGCCAGATGGAGTCACATGTCGTGGATACGAAGGCCAGGCCCACTGGGTCGATGTTCATGCCAGGAAAGCATGAACCTGATCATGAGCATTGTCCGATTTGTCCTTTCACAGCAATAAAAAAGTGAAAACAGCACCAGTGGGGCGTGGCCCTTGTTTAAACTCTTCGTGTCCAGGTCCTGGAATGTTTTGTCATTGCTTCGTTCTGCTAATCTGCTTTTTTGTCTGTTATAAGCCACATCTACGAAAGGGGTCCCACCAGATCACCAGAAGGCCTGCATTTTTTTTCAGCTTGGCTTTTAGATGCAAAATCATATTGCGCAATTGTTCTCTGTGGTCCTCGTTTCTCAGACCTGGTGTCCACTGTCCTCCCAAGAGTGTCTCTGATAGTGGTGGTTCAGTCAAGCAGGCTTACCATTCCTATGTTTGGTTGCCTTTGTCCCCGTCGATGGCATTTGCTGTGGATTTCTTTTCTTCTAACATGAGGCTATATGAGTTTACCGTTATGTCGTTCAGTCTCATGAATTTGGTGCACCAGTTATGTGGGTGATACTATGCTGGTCATACCATGAGGGCAGGGCGGTAATATGTGGCCAGGGTGAAACTAACTATGTGGGATTGGATCATGCGGTGTGGACGCTGTGGCGGCATGTGGGCTGATGAGTGGTCTTATGTGCCGCGGGGTGGGTGATACAGTGTGGCCCGGATGGCGCAATGTGGGGTGGCCGGGTCAGCGTGGGGTAGGTGGGAGAGATGCTACGGGCTGGGTGGTGCAAATGATCCAGCCCCAAAAAGAAAACACAGAAAAACGAAAAACCTGATCCCAACCAGCTTGGGCGAGCGCAGTTAGTACACACCTGAACTGTCGACATTCAGATCTGGGCTCAGACTGTAGCTAAAGCAGATGAGTAAAATGCTACATTTCTGAAATTGTCCTCCCCCCCGCCAAAAAAAAGGAGTACATTTTTGTTGATAAGCAGACTCGAGCATGAATCCAACAAAGAAAAGCAACCTTCAGATCACTACTTTTTTTCCTTTCGGGACAAAGACCACTGGGATTCGAGCTTGAGACTTCACTAAGGGTCAATCGCCTTCTCTCTGTCCAAATCCAGCATGCTATGTACTCGTATTCGAGCACGAGCCAGAGCCAGCTATGATCGTGAAACCTGGATGGAGTGAAAAAACGACAAAAAAAGACCGACAAGGTCTGTCCGGCTAAACAGTTGCCCTTCCAGATCCTGTACTGATTGAACTGCATGTGCACACACATGCTGTGACATTCGTTGGCATACATTGTGAGAATTTGTGACAACGATTGCATTCAGACACGGCAGAATGGATAACTGTTGACCTTTAGGGGAGGGGGGTTATACATACGCTGTGTGATATACATAATTGCATGATTAACAGCAATTCTTGAATTTCGTTACGACCCTGGTCATTCCCAAAGTGCAAATTCACAATGAAAGACAATGCCACCCAATGAATGCACTTCCAAAGAGATAAAGACCAAAGAAGAGAGAAAGAAGAAGAAGAAGAAGAAGAAGAAGAAGAAAAAGATGCACACCGGCAAGACCAATGACAAATCCCCCTTCTCTCTCAACCTTCCCCCCCCCTCCACTTCGCCATTCTTATTCTTCTTCCAATAATAATAATAACAATGAGTGGCTGAACCAGAATCAATATCCGAAGTTCCCTCTTACTGCTGACACAACATCAGGTCCACCATAGCCATGGCTCCCCGCTTCTTCCTCCTCTCACATGCCTAGGCTATGGCGGACTACAAAGGGCTCTGCCCTCCTGTGCGAAGGACAACACAAAGCAGCTATGCCGCTGCTCAATAAGCCGCCATGCCTGACTCTGCCTCGAGCTTCCTTGGTGCGGCACGACCCCAATTGCGGCCTTCCAGGTGCAGCGCCTAACAAGGTGATTAAGATGGTGTCCTCCATAGCCAGGTAGGTACCTCGCCACTCTCCTCCTTCGCCCCCTTCTTCCTCCTCCTCAGGCTGGGCTGCTCGCCATAACCAGGCTGAGCGCTCAGTGGCTCTCCTCCTCCAGGCAGGGATCCCAAGTCCAGCGCTTGGCTCCAGCAGTATGTCGCCAATCCTTGCACACCGCAAATGAGGAGGAGCTGTTTGCTCCTCCCGAAGATATATCGGCCTACTGGCCTCTTGGGCGGTGACTTCCTAGGCCGAGTGGCCTCCCAGCAACTGGTACCTCCTCCCTTTCAGAGGGAACATCATTGCAGGCTCTGATATCGTCCGGACAGGCCCTAGACTCAGGCCACTTGGACTGGTACCGGCCTCCCTCTAACCTACTGCTACTGGGCCTCTAAAAATGCCAACTTTTGTCTTCTTCTGCTCGGCCTCCAGTACCCGACACTTCTACCACTACTGGAGTGTTTTTCCCGCTGCTCTAAGTGTTTTCCCCACTGCAACCCTCGAAGTCACGGCCACAAGTAAGTACTGGCCCTGTGGGGCCTTTCAACCAACAAGTACCCTTGCGGGTCACACACACACTCAGGCCGACAAGCGCTCAGACAGGCACGCAGACCAGCAGGCATGCACACATACAGACTTGGAAATCACAGCAGAATGCGGGAATCTCAGCAAGGCATACATTCCAGCGGCAAATCCCAGAAATTAGCAGTGTTCTCAGTCTGTGTTTTGGCGGGTGATTACAATTTTGTCAAAACAGACTTTTTTTATTTTTTTTTAACAGCATAATTGCAGGTCTTTGCTACCTCCACGTGGTCAATGGAGGTCCAACCTTAATGTCCTTCCAACATGCATGGTATTTGACCTGATTTGCTGAATGCTTTGTGAAAAGACCTGATCAGTGGATGTGGGCCCACCTCGTCAATGTCCTTGAGGAGGCTCACAGTTCAGGTGTACAATTACAGTTTTCTGCTGATTCTTCGGTTTTTACCTTTCTACTGCAGTTTGTTGGTTGTGTTGTATTTTGCTGGCCGCCTTGTTGCTACTCATGGCCCCCTGTTTTGTCTTATCAAATTGGGGAATCACTCGACGACAGAAATTTAGTGCACATTGCACCCCACAATCGACCTCTTTGCCATGCATCCCCTTGTGTGCAGCCCCTTCTATGTGGCCATTCGTAAGCCGTATGCATTGTGGCCGAATACTGTTCAACGTGCCACTAGCGGAGCCACATGCTGCCTGGTTGGGTTCGCCGTCTTTCGATTCACTTCATTGCATGTGGACGTGCCATGGTAATGAACGTTGAAGAGCTGTTTGTGACGTTTGTGATCGTCTTGTGTGGTGGTGTCTTGTCATGTAACCGCAGACTCGAAGAGCGACAACGCTGGGAGAAGGCCCAAAGGGAACAAAGAGGAGAGCCGTGGGCTCCCCGATGGTTCAGGCCGACAGGCGAGATCGCATGTGATGGGGACCTGCCAATATATGAGTTTACTGATTCATACAATGAGCACCACGCTGATCAAGCCAACGGTACCTCAGATAATCGGACAAAAGATTTCTGCCCGTGGCAGTTTCCAGGGGAATATGTAGTATGATCTATCTTTTCCTTGGTGGTTGGGACGTTGTCTCCTGCGGTGGTAGGACTGACCCCTTTTCCAAGTGCCTTTTTTTTCATGCAGATGGTGGGCCATGACCAGGAGTACTGCCGCGCTGTCTGCTTTATTCTCGCGCATGGATGGACAGTAGTGAAAATCGTACTTCTGTCTCTTCGTTTTCTCTCCCCTAAAAGTGGTTGAAAGGCCATTACGAATGTCTGGATGTGTAGAGGGGGGGGGGGGGGGGGGGGGGGGAGAGGGAGGGGGGGGGGGAGCCTCTAATCTTCCATGGCACAGATAGTCACGATTCTTTCATGATGAAATCTTTTTTCTTGTCACCTTTTGTCAATCAGTGTGGCAGCATTGTGCCAATCTGGCTGGATCGAGCTCCCGTTTGCGAACGTGTGGCTCTGTGTGGACTATCTGTGTTGCTCCCGACCGCCCTGTCTTCCTCGCGAGAGGTGAGAATGAATCACTGCACTAGCTGTTGCCTTGTTTGTGCCCGAGGAGTAAAACTTGGGGCGCCAGATGTGGATATGTCTTTTCTTCATTCTGAGAATCCCAACCGTCGTCTGTCAGGAGATCTGCTTCAGCTGTCTGTCTTTGGATGCATATGTCCCTTGCCTCCTCCCTGAGATCAGACAACTCTCCTGCCGCATGTGCCACACCTTTCCTCTGTGTGCATCTGATTGCAACTGTACTCGAGGCAGGCCGCTGGCTGTGAGAGCAGCGCGAATATGCAAGCAATGTGGATATCAGTGTCTTCTCCACAGCTGGAGACTTTACTGGAGGCTAACCTGGCATGCGGGCAGGAGTGGCGGTAAGAACAAAAAGCATACAACCTGGGTGAGAATCTCTGTCGGAGATTGGACCACAACGCTGAATGATTGTTACGGGTTGGAAGTGTCTGATTGCCAGTTTGTATTCTTCATAAGCATAGGCGTCTGGCCCCAGGCTCCATCTTCTAAGTGCATGGAGTGGAGGATGTTGACCACCAGTCGGTCAGCACGTCGTTGGATGGTCCCCAACTCGGCCATCAGCTGTTGGAAGGTGTATGCTGGCCGGCATAAGATCAGTAGAAGCTCTCCCTAGACAAGGCTGTGTGTACAAGGCTGTAAGGTGTGCTGTATTAAATGCCCTTGCTGGAGGACAGAGCACATAAAGGGCAGGTGGTCCGAAAACAGGTAACGATTACCACCCGTGTCAGTGGATGGGCACTTCCATGAATGGCAGTGTTTCGTTTTTGGAATGGGTCCGCTATCCCTTTCTATCTGATGTTGCAGAGGTGCTGTTTTTTTTTGTGTTTAGAGGCATGGCTCCCTTTGCTGCGGCAATTGCCGAATATCTGGATGCTCATGCCTGGACTGTCAGCGCAGTCTGCCGGGCTGAATATGGAATGGCATCCAGTCGTTGCGTTGCGCCTGGAAAATCGGAGCAAGGAAGGGGTGGTCTACAGAATATGGAATGGCATCCAGTCGTTGCGTTGCGCCAAGGTGATCGTGGCATTGGTGCGCTAGCAGAAGTCTAAAGTGCGCAGTACTGCAAGGGCAAATCGGACCAAGAAACGGGTGGTCTACTGAGTATGGAATGGCATCCGGTCGTTTTGTGCCAAGGTGATCGTGGCATTGGTGCGCTAGCAGAATTATGAAGTGCGCAGTACTGCAAGGTAGAGATACTCCTGCAGGTCTTGTACCTCTAGGCTGTCCAGGTGAGTGTGCTGACACACATCCACTCTCATCTCCCAGTGAATCCCACTTTTCGTGTCAGGTGGAAAGAGTTATTTTGTGCGCTATGATGCATATGACAGCAGTACTCCAATTTGGCGTTCGTACAGGTTACATTACCAGAAGTGTGGTTGTCGAACACTTGAGGAGTATGTTCGGCTTCTCTATTGGACATTTTGGGTAGACAGGTACGTACGGGTCTTTCCCCCATGGTTTTGGGGTCCGATAAAGGATGATCTCATCGGGACGAGATTTTGGCACAAAAGTGCCATGGGGGGTGGGGTTGGTTGCAAGCTTGGATTTGATTACAGTTGGCAAGTGAAGATTCTTTGGCCAAAAGTGTCTGGCTTGGTGCATTACATCCCGTATCGTGTATAGAGTGTCCTCTGTGGAAATAGTGTTATGATTCTTATGACCGCCCTCCTCTTTTCTTGTTCTTTGTTCTCTTCTTTGTGTTAACTTTTCTCTTCTACTCCCCTCCCTTCCATTACTTTTGGTTCCCGTCTTTCATTCTCTGTTTGTTGATCTCGTTTCCCTCGGAATCCTTGTCTCGATGATTTTGCTAGTCACTTCCGCGTTTCTTTACTCCTCTCCCCCTTGTTTTCACTCCTGACTCCTCTCTCTCTCTCTCTCTCTCTCTCTCTCTCTCTCTCTCTCTCTCTCTCTCTCTCTCTCTCTCTCTCTCTCTCTCTCTCTCTCTCTCTCTCTCTCTCTCTCTCTCTCTCTCTCACACACACACACACACACACACACACACACACACACACACACAGTTGCTTGCACATCCCCTTCTGCCCCTTTCTTTTCTCCCATGTGGCTTCCATCACTCAGTGCCACCGTGCATTTCTTTCCACATCATACGTTGTTTTCTTTTACTGCTTACATTCCTCCGTTCATCCTCGCCTTTCTTTAACTTGTTCCTCCTACCGTCCTCCATATTTTCCCTGTCTGGTCCGTCTGTCCTTGTCCTTTTTCACCTCCCCCACCTCCTGCTGTATGAGGCCTTCTCAGCTTGGAAATAGTGTCCCGTTCCTCCCGGTGTTGACGTGTGAGATTTCTGCAGCAGAACAGTGGTCTTAATTCTGGACAGCCGTTCTCCAATTGAGGAACGGAAATCTGAGCAGGATGGTAATGTGAGTGGATTGGAGGCGTTAATATAAAGACATTGGATTGTATCACTTGACCACATACAATAGGAACCATCACTGCCATGTCGATTTGTTCACTTTGTTTGTGTGTGTGTGTGTGTGTGTGTGTGTGTGTGTGTGTGTGTGTGAGAGAGAGAGAGAGAGAGAGAGAGAGAGAGAGAGAGAGAGAGAGAGAGATGGTAGCAATCCACTGGAGCATTCCTTCATATACAGAAAGGGAATGGCAATGTCCCAGAGGAAATAATCCAAGACCATTTGAAAATTGAAATACAGTTGAATATACACCGAGTCCATTCCATGGTATATAGAGACATTTCGTAATGACGGCAGCTTTGTGCAAACCGAGCAGGGTGGCATGGAGGGCGTTGTGAAGTCCGCTGTTCAGTGGGCCAGCTTGACTGCTGTTACTCAGGTGTTATGTTGTCCGTTATTGCACGGAAACCACCCTCCTGTTGTGCTCCATTTTCACTGATCCACACGGAAGTGCCAAGCGCTAGACCCGTCAGGTACCAGTGCCGTGCAGAGCAAGGCACGTGTCTTCCTGTTAATGCGATGTCCCTTTTGGGGCATTTGTGTCACCTGAATGTGTGTTGGTCGGTCGGGAAAGAGTGATGCGGAAACTCACTGTGGAAATAGCATTGTGGCCTCTGTGTATGTGTGGTGGAGGTGGCGGTGGTGGTGGGGGTTTTGGGGGCGGGGGGGGAGCAGAGCGCAAATGATGATCTGTGTGATACACTCTCCTTTATGGTGCACTGATGATCTATGGAGGCCAGGGATGCTTCAATGTCGCGATTCAAAGGACTGGTGGATGATCGTTCACAGGGTTCATGAACTCGACACAAGACTAATGAGATTGCAGGGAGATTATCATCGAAGCGAATGAGCAAGAGGAAAAAAGTATAATGTTTACGATTCTGAGCTCTCTTAATTAATTAGCCGCAGGCGTACTTTACATGCGCGGAGCCCGCGGAAGAGGACAGCCATCCAGTTTTGTGATCGGCGGTTGAAAAAAGAAGTTTGTGGGTGACCTGGCTGCGGTTTGCGAACACGTCTTTCTAGCAAGGACAGATGCGCAGTGCTCGCGCTGTTCAGCTTTGCTTTGGTTTTCGTCTGGGTGTTTTGCTTTTAGCATGCCTGGTGATGTCAGAGGCATGGATGCCATCCAATAAGCAAAGGTGAAATCTGTGTCCTCTATCGCAGGGTCAGGAGTGTTGTGCGATTTGTTTTCTTTCATAGTGTTGGGGTCTCCTTTGTAGTGCGCGGTGCGGGAAAAGGAGGGGGAGGCAAGGGAAAAGAGGCGTGGCAAGGCGTGAATGCGGACACAGTAATGTTTTTTGTAGGAGAGGGAGACAAGGTGGTGCTGTGCGTACAGCTTCCTGGTTTCCCTATATGCGCGGCAAGGGAAAAGAGGTGTGCGGCAAGGCGCGAATGGGGACACAGTTATGCTTTTTGTAGGAGGGGGAGACAAGGTGGCGCTGCGCGTAGAGCTTCTTGGTTCCCCTATATGTGCGGCAAGGTAGACAAGGTGGCGCTGCGCGTAGAGCTTCCTTGTTTCCCTATATGCGCGGCAAGGGAAAAGAGGCATTGCAAGGCGTGAATGCGGACACCGTTATGCTTTCTTTGTGGAGTTGCTGTCGGAGCCGGGCTTTGAACCCAAGTGCTGAGCTAGAGGTACCAACTGCCCGATGGCTGGAACTGGATTTTGAACCCCTGTACACACCTCGACTTAACAATTGACCTTTGAGTCAACGAATGAGGCAAGACCCGGTCCTTGTCTCAATTTGGGGCCCCTGTTTCGTTTGATCGTTGCCTCACAAACACCTCTTGTTATTGCCATTTTGTTCTTTTCGTGAGCGGTTCTCTCAGTCTGAGGACGAGGATTCCTTGTGCACTGTGGTGGTTTATAATTAAAAAAAATCCTTGAGGGTAGAAAAGGACAAAAAAGGCAAAAAGGGTGGATTCAGCATTGGACAGTGAGCCCTTTTCATTTAAATCGCCACTGCCTCCAAGCCTCGAATGCCAAGGTGAAAAAGAACTGCGTGCCTAGCTGTGCTTTGCCGAAGCGCCGGCAGTAGTGTTTTTTTTTGTTTTTTTTTGTCTTTTGACTGGTGCTGCCAGCTGTTTTGGTGTGGTGGCACCTGCCCTCGGAAGAATGCGGTGTTATCACTGTTATGGTATTTTGGTGCTTCGAGTTTGCCTGTGAAAAGTAGTGGTGGACCTGGTGGTTTAAAAAAAGAAAAGAAACTCAGAAAAGCAGAAAGAAAAAAAAGGAAAGAAGAACGAGAAGAAAAGTTAGAAAGCAATCGAAACTTGAAAGAGAAGTTTTTTTTTTTTGTTTGCCTTTTCCGTTTTATTTTATTGCCTGAGGAAAAGAAATTGATGAAGCACTAAATTTGCACCAATTAGTGGGGGGGGCGAAAAGCCTCAATCCTCAACCTTAGGCTGATCCTTGCCCCTGTAGCAAACGAAAGAAATCAAAGAATCAGAGAGACCCTAGTTGCCCTTTTCTTACGATGGCTGTCGGAATCGCCCATCCTACTACACCACAGCCAATGGAACGGGCAATTTTAGAAACTAAAAATAAAAATGGAAAAGGTCTCAGACTCCCTGTAGTAGTACATTTAAAAGTCCAAAAGGAAGAAAAACGCCTCAAGTCTCAAACAATCAAAAACACGATGAAGACGAAAGCGCAAATTACCTGGGAATTCACCCCAATCTTCCACGACAAGAACCGCAAATTACCTGGGAATTCACCCCAATCTTCCACGACAAGAACCTCTTCTGTTTGAAATCTCAAGCCCCCGAAAAAGGAAAAGCTAACAAGGAAAAGAGCGCATTCAGCCATATTCAAGAAGTTTAGTGCAAAATCACCTCCACCTGTCGAGCGTATTCGACTTCATCTCTCCTTAGCCAAATGATAGATGACAGGCCTATACTACTGGTGGGATGAAAATCTGAAATAAATAAGCATATCAATGATAACATTAACAGAGAGGAGGTAGAACTACTCAGTATCCTGATATCTAGCGCACAAATGAAAACATATATCAAGGGGACGCTGACGTAACAAGTGGCAAGCAGGGACTTTCTTATTTTTTGTTTTGTTTTGACAAGCAGGATCTCAAACAACGGACAGCAATATGTAAAACGCCACCGCCGTCATCGCAACGCCCATGCCAGGAGATACTTAGGGTGGCGGAGCGCTCCTGGTAGCGCGGCGTTCCCTGCGACTGAGGCCTACCAGCCAATTTATGCACCTGCTTTCCCTCAGTCTGTTTGGCCAGAGTACAGTCGAAAGGAGTCCCTTCAAAATTGGAGCAGGTCGTACTTTTGTTCGCTACTATCCTTCTCAGAGTCTCAGACACTGACAGAACTCTGAGTAAACCCCGTACAATGGGACTGCACAGACCCTCAATCCTCTTTGGGACCCCCCTCCCGAAGTGTGCTACAGGTCGAACTCTGGATTTCACACTACAAGCTAAAAGACGTTGGTTGGAAGAGAAACCCTGTAGACGGAATCAGAACATAGATATTGTCACAGCTGACATAATAGAACAGTGGCGCATCCCGCCACCCCGACTGCCTTTGCGCATGTTCACGAGCACAATATGGCTAGAATTTCACAGAGCAGTGCCTACAGCTCAGTGGCTCCAAGACAAATCAGACAGACCAGCAGTCACCTCTGGTGGAAACGCACAGAGTCAAAAATGCCTATGGACTTGGTGGGAAGGTCACCTCTGGTGGCTATTGTTTGTCACCGACACGATCAGGTTGTCGGAGAATTTTGTTCTGGATTAGCATCCTACCTTCTACCTTCTTGGATCTAACAGTCCGAAGGTTGGCGCCATGCAGCCTCGGCAGTTAGAACAGCCATACATATGTTACGATCCTGGCCACTTCCAAAGCGTGAATTCACGAGGAAAGACGATGCACGAGCACAATATGGCTAGAATTTTACAGAGCAGTGCCTACAGCTCAGTGGCTCCAAAAGACAAATCAGACAGACCAGCAGTCACCTCTGGTGGAAACGCACAGAGTCAAAAATGCCTATGGACTTGGTGGGAAGGTCACCTCTGGTGGCTATTGTTTGTCACCGACACGATCAGGTGGTCGGAGAATTTTGTTCTGGATTAGCATCCTACCTTCTACCTTCTTAGATCTAACAGTCCGAAGGTTGGCGCCATGCACCCTTGGCAGTTAGAACAGCCATACATATGTTACGATCCTGGCCACTTCCAAAGTGCGAATGCATGAGGAAAGACGATGCAACCCAATTGCGAAAGAAATGAACGCACTTGCAAAGGGATAGAGACCAAAGAAGAGAAAGAAGAAGAAGACGAAGATGTGCACCAGCAAGACCAATAACAAATCCCCCTTCTCACTCCACCTTCCTCCTCCTCCTTCACTTCACCAATCTTATTCTTCTTCCAATAATAATAATAACAAAGAGTGGATGAACCAGAATCAATATCCGAATATCCCTCTTACTGCTGACACAACATCCGGTCCATCATAGCCATGGCTTCCCCTCACTCTCATGTGCTTAGGCTATGGCGGACTACTAAGTGTTCCGCCCTCCTGTCCAAAGGACAACACAAAGCAGCTATGACGCTGCCCTCCTGTCCATAGAACAACACAAAGCATTTATGCCGCTGCTCAATAATCCGCCATGCCGGACTCTGCCTCGAGCTTCCTGGGTGCGGCACTACCCCAACTGGGGTCTTCCAGATGCAGTGCCGAACAAGGTGATGAAGATGGTGTCCACCATAGCCAGGTAGGTACCTCGCCACTCTCCTCGTTCGCCCCCTTCTTCCTCCTCCTCAGGCTGGGCTGCTCGCCATAGCCAGGCTGTGCACTCAGCTGATCTCCTCCTCCAGGCAGTGCTCCAAGTCCAGCGCTTGGCTCCAGCAGTATGTCGCCAATCCTTGCAAACGAGGAAGAGCTGCTTGCTCCTCCCGAAGATATAGCGGCCTACTTGCCTCTTGGGCGGTGACTTCCTAGGCCGTGCGGCCTCCCGGCAACCGGTACCTCCTCCTTTTCGGAGGGAAACATCATTGCAGGCTCTGATATCGTCCGGACAGGCCCTAGACGCAGGCTACTTGGACTGGTACCGGCCTACCTCTAGCCTACCGCTACTGGGCCTCTAAAAATGCCGACTGTGCTTGGCCTCCAGTACCCGACACTTCTACCACTACTTGTGTGGTACCGGCCTACCAGCTACTTGAGTGTTTTTCCCGCTGATTGTTTTCCCCACTGCAACCCTTAAGTCACGGCCATAGGTAAGTACTGGCCCTTCGGGGCCTTTCAACCAACAAGTACCCTTGCGGGTCACACACACACTCGGGCCGACAAGCACTCAGACAGGCATGCAGACCAGCAGGCACGCACACACACAGACTTAGAAATCACAGGAGAATGCGGAAATCTCAGTAAGGCGTACATTCCAGCCAGTGTTGCACACCCTGAACGGTCGGCGGCCCTCGACTGGTCGGCTGCCGACCCGCCGACTGATCGGCTGGTCGGCACCTAGCAGTCGGGGATCGTCGGCACCCCGCACTTTTTTTGTTTTTGTTTTTGGGATCCAGAACCCCTAATAACCCCACCCACACCCCCATAGCGGCCCCCAATACTGCATACACCAACCTAACAGTCCCGAACCGCCCCCAACATCCTTATTAAACCCCCCAATATCTCCTATATCACCCCTATACTCCGCCTATACTCCAACCCATACCTGCGGTGTATAGTGTGTTCGCGAGCTCCGCACGTGCGCACGTGCGGCACATAACTCACATGTAAGCATGCACGCGCACGTGATGCGACGCACCCCAATAAATAGGGTATAAAAAAAAAATTGGAGAAGGCTGGCTGAGGTAGCCAATGGTGCCCCTCCCCACAGAAAAAGAAATAGGGCCCACGTAGTCCTTGTTGAATAGTCTTTTTCGTGGAGGACCCCAGCAGTACATATGCAAGGGTCCCAACATCTCAAGAGATGTTCAGCAAATTTCGTATGAAAGAGTAGCAGGCCAGCAATATATGTTTTGGATCCGAAGTCAGGTCTGCTTTCGAGCAGTTATGGGTTACAAGTTACAACTACTTACTACCATAGCTCTCTCTTTCTTTTCTTTCTTTTTCCTACGAGCAGTGGCCCTAAGGGCCTTGCTCCACTCGTCACCAGCACAAAAGACAAAACATACGGCGGCGTATGGTTCCATGTTCTAGGAGGAGATTCATTCCTCTCTTTCTTTTGTTTCCTTTTCCTACCACAAGTGGCCCTAAGGGCCTTGCTTCACTCGTCACCACTTGCACAAAAGACAAAACATATGGCGGCGTACGGTTCCATGTTCTAGCAGAAGATTCATTCTAGTTTTGCACATTTGTAGTGGAGGGAAGCCCTGAAAAGCACGTGGTGAGTTGGCCTGCTACTGCCCAGAAACTCGCGTGCTCAGTGGTCACATAACTGCTGAAACACGGACCTTAAAGTGAATCAACAGCATATATATATACTTGGCGTGCCATGACTTCAGCATGGCTATGACTACTACCTCGTTCATGGCAACGTGGCCCTTGCTGATTGTGTCCAGGGCCCTCTCGGATAATCCGCAGGGCGGTTGAAATAAATTAAGGAGCTATTTGTTTACATTCCC